GCTCCTGGCTGTGATTTTGCTATAGATTTCATTGTTGGTGGTGGAAGCTATGATGTTACCTGCCGCTGTTCATATAGCTTTTGCTGGAATGTGAGTTGCTTCATATTCTTCACAGATAGTGTTTATCTTTACTGAATGTAAATTTTGAAGGGAACTGCATATCTGTGCATGTATGTACGGGACACAGGATGTGTTGTTAAAATAACACGCACACACACACACATATATATGTTCTTCCTTCCTATTCTTATTTTATGCTTTGTTTGGTTTTCATATCACCCCTTAAATATTTTAGAATTGCACTTGGATATGTATAAAATTTTTGTTCAAAAAAAGAAAAGAAGAAACAACCATGTAACTTTTGAAAATTATCCTTGGATCCCCTTTTCTTTTATCGAAAAGGAAAATTACTTGGATACTCGTGTTTGAAAATTTTGGACTATCCTTGCTTCATTGGTGCTCATGGCATTTACATCATATGAATTTTACCTTGCAGTGTACTGAGGAAGCTCACCGTCCGGTTGATTGCGGTACTGTGGCAAAATGGATATTAAAGAATAGTGCCGAATCTGAAAATATGAATTGGTATGCAATATGTTAGTGATTGGTGACAAAATAAACTTATAAAGTTTGAGAACAGTGATCACATTTGAACATTGGACTCCTCCTTGGGCCATAGGATGATGGGACAATAATCTATGTACTGATGTAAAGTGGTGTGTGGTGAAAGCATGGCCCAGTACCCGCCTTGATAATTGTGTGGCCTTTCTACCCTTGCCCACATGGATATGCCTTTTGATCATATTACAGCATAAAAATCTTATTAGCTAGACAGTACACAAATATGCGGTACAAAAGTTGGTGTGGAATGGTCACCTTAACGTGGACTTTATTAGTTGGGAACTAAGTTCTAGATGATTCCCAAAATATTGAAGAGAGTAAAATATCTCAACGTTTGGTTCGTTAAGCTTATAATAAGGACAAAGTCGTGCTTATATTTCAGTTCCTATTACAAATATTTTGAAGGGTATAACCACAAAGAGAGATGGGTATCCTGGGTTACAACAGGGATGGATTGAAAGAAGACTAATCTTCTAGATTCCCCTTGTTTTGCATGATCTCACAAATACTTCATGTATATGTATATGTACATGTATCCATTCCCAAGAACTTTAAAATCTTAAGGGGCCTATGTCTCTCTTGTGCACATGCCATCATAGGTTTGGTTATTTACAGTCGTGTAAATGCCTTAAATACATTATAATAAACAGCGGCTCACAAAATGTTTTGTTGCCTGTATTGATTTTAGGCCAAAAATGCTAAGTTAAAATGTTGATGGATTTCAGGATATTGGCTAATTCTAAGCCATGCCCAAAGTGCAAGCGACCAATTGAGAAAAACCAAGGCTGTATGCATATCACTTGCACACCACCTTGTAAATTTGAGTTTTGCTGGTAAGCTTTTTAGCTATACTACCTGTTGTTTTTGATTTCTTGTGCATCATAATGAAATGTGATTTATTACCTTTACGTTTGTTTCTAGTCTTTTAGGTAGTCATAACTTGTTTTGTCAAAGCTGGATTTCATGTTGTCATGCATCTTGTGTGAACAATATCTGCTCAAACCCACACAACCCCCCCGGTGCATGGTCGGATCATGGTGAAAGGACAGGTGGATTTTATGCATGTAATCGTTATGAGACAGCAAAGCAGGAGGGAGTGGTATGTTAATGTAGTTTCCATCTCTATTTTGATGGTTGATTATTTTCTCAAGCTACTATGTTATATAATTATTATTTTATTGTTATTTACAGTATGATGAGACAGAGAAACGAAGAGAGATGGCCAAGAACTCTCTAGAGAGGTACACTCATTATTATGAAAGATGGGCAACCAATCAATCGGTATGTACAAGTTTGTCAAAAATATAGTAAAACTGATTCAGTTCTTGTCGTTGTGCTTGAAAGAAGTTCCATGTTTGCTCATGTTTGTAATGTTTGTTAATTATCTAAATGGCATCTTTCTAAATGAAGTCATTTAGGTTGTGCTTAACTTATTTAGCTATATTTTACCTTTGTAGTAAATAATTATACATAATGTTTCTCTGTGGCGCTTGTGCAGAAGACAATTATTTTTTATTTTTTATTATGTTTTCATTTATGTTGTGGTCCTCATTATGAAAGATAGGCGACAAATCTGTCGACAAACCGTTCATTGTGCTTGATGCGATCAGTTTGCTTAAGTCGGCTATCTTTTATAAAATGTCTTGTTGCTTTTGGTTGACTTGCGTACACTTCACTCCTTGGTAATAAATAATCTTGCAAGGGTGCGTCTGCACATATGGATATACCTGTTAAAAAGAAATTAATGCTTTAGCCCCTTGTATAATTTTAAATACATGTTTTCCATTTTAATCTGTGTGACTTCTAAAGTATTTTAAGTTAGAACCTAAAATATTCCCTTTTTTTTCCCCATCACTACAGTCCAGGCAAAAAGCACTTGCAGACTTGCAGCAGATGCAAACTGTGCATGTAAGTAAAACCTTTTACCATCAGGGCTTTCTTGGTTAGTGATGCTGGTATAGCTGATTGATGTGGCTATCAATTATGGTGAATGTGTTCCTGGGCCTATGAGTAGGATAGTGCATTTAATAAATGTACAATTTTCTCCTTTCTTTCCTACTAGTTGGCATTCTGCTTTTTAAGTTATCTATAGTTTCGATTTTGTGTCAATGTAGCTTGAGAAGCTGAGCGACATCCAGTGCCAACCTGAGTCACAGCTGAAGTTCATTACAGAGGCCTGGCTACAGGTACACCACAAGTTCACTTTTCTACTGAGAGCCAATTGCTTCTTCTTATTTGATTTTCTCCATTTACAGATAGTTGAATGTAGGCGAGTACTAAAATGGACTTATGCCTATGGATATTATTTACCTGAGCATGAACATGCCAAGAGACAGTTTTTTGAGTACTTGCAAGGTATGTCATTTTCTCAGGCTTGAAGATAGACATTGCTTGTTGTTGATTTATCCTAATTAATCTATTTCTGCAGGTGAAGCTGAGTCTGGGTTGGAACGACTTCATCAATGTGCAGAAAAGGAGCTACAAGTTTACCTCAATGAAGAGGACCCATCGAAAGATTTCAATGAGTTCCGCACAAAACTTGCTGGATTGACCAGGTTATTTTGAACTAAAGATTTTACCTTCTATATTTCTCATTGGATAAGTTGACTACTGCTGGGAGGTAGTGGCTTGGGTCAAAGGGAAGGGTGGTTATTTGTTGTTATTATTATTTTTGTGTGTGTGTGTGTGTGTGCGGTTTTGGCGGTGGGGGTTGTTGGCAACTTGGTAAAGTGAAGCAAGGCAAGTCAGATTGCCCACATTATTCTTTGACAAGTGCAATCTTGCGGAAGCCTTTGCTCAACGTCATGTATCAGAGAGTTTTTTGTTTTTATTTTTTTAGATTATCAAACTCATTTTCAAATATTTTTTACTTTACATGTTGACCGACTTGGGATGATATAGCTTTTCAACTTATTGATTTATGGTTCAAATTCAATGAAAACAGTGTGACTCGGAACTACTTTGAAAATTTAGTTCGAGCTCTGGAGAATGGTCTATCAGATGTGGACTCCCATGGTGCCTGCAGCAGGACAGCAAGCTCAAAGAATTTGGGAGGCACAAGCAACAAGGGAAGAGGTGGGAGGGGCAAGGCAACAACATCGAGGTCAAGTAGTTCCAGTAGAAATATTGATGATTTAGGCCACTGGTCCTGTGAACACTGCACCTTTGCAAATGTCAAGTCGGCTACGGTGTGCCAGATGTGTCAACAACGCCGATAACTGATTTTTCCTATGCAAATTGACCTACTTGGATGTTGAGGCCTTGGTTTTGCCTCTTTGGCTGGCAGGTTTCTGTGGATAAGCACCCTAACGGTTTGCTAGGGAGGGAAAAATTTCGACTGGTTACTTTATCTTTGGAATTATAGGAGCGAGGACAATGCAGAAAATAAGAAGGGTGGGAGGAAGGAGAATACTCTGCCCGTCTTGTTTATTGGAACATGAGCTGTATATAGTTCCTACTGTTTGTCTAGCTTTCGGTGGCTGTCTTTGATTCATGCAAATGCCTTCATCTGTAATTTTCTTGTCGGTATCAGTTGCTGATAAACTTGTAGCAAGTTTGAAGCTTTAAAGTGGGTTGTAAGAGTAAACTAGTTGGGGACAAGAAACTGAATTGGCCCCTGCACAAATGAAATAAATATGTACAATTTATCTTTCTTTTTCTCATCTTGAATACCAAAAAGGAAAAAAAGAAAAAGAAAAATCCCTTTTGGCTTTGATCAGTTCTCAATAATTTCCTTTTTCAGTAGGGTGAGAAAACTCTGCTTTTTCTTTGCACCAGCGTTCGGCAATTAGCAAGGGCTTCCTTGATTAGATTACTCTTATGCAAGGGGGTGTGCACCTGTTTCTCTTTCTTGATTTTTAAAATGAAAAAAAAAAATACAACCACCGAAAAACCAATTGACACACGCCTGGCCACTAGCTAGTTAGTAGAAAGAGAAAAGGTGGAAGGTACGATAATTCTAAATATCAAACAAGATTGTGTTTAGGTCTTCATGTTTTAGGAGTTTATTTCTTTTATTTATTTATGAGAATTTAGGAGTTTATTTCAATGTAAATAAATTCAAAAGGGAGAGAGAGAGAGAGAGAGAGAGAGAAGAAATCTAGTAAAACTGTAGAGATCAAGATACAAACACCTCCTCATGACATGAGTAGCGAGATACAGACACCTGAAAGGATACTGCAGGTTTAGTGAATATAAACCAACTACGCCCCCCCCCCCCCCCCCCCCCCCCCCCCCACCGACCCCCACCCGACACATCCTCACACTCAAAAAGGAACGGAAAAAAATTTACATACTTCATTGGTCCCAGACTCTGAAGCTCTGGATGAAACTCTTGAATTTTCTGCAATATATACAGGTCTAAAACGAGGAGGGGGAAAGAGAGAGAGAGAGAGAGAGAGAGTGTGTTCGATCATGTATGCGTCCCAGTCACTTCAAACTTACAGAATAGATCAGTAACAATTGTGTTCCTGGAGCTTAATTTTTAGTGCCCGAGATGAGATGGATTTGGATTTCTTGGGTTTTTCAGAGTGGCTCACAAGTGAACCATCAGACTCCACTAGGTTAGGCTGGGAATATCAACACTAGATGATACCAACCAACCACTGAGTTGCTGCAGGCTGCAGCATATTGTCGGCAAACCGATTTCGGCCTCCTTTCCACTTTCTGCATTTCAAACAAATCATACTACGCTTTTGAAATAACTATCATAAAAGTTCCAGTTTAAATTGACAATATGGATGCAAAGACTGCAAGTCTTCTACAACTGCATAGAGCCATATTGTATTACACAACAAACACAACTTCCTTCAGTTTTGTAAATTGAAGCCACAGCACATTAGGGGTACAGCCTACAGCCACTTGTAACAATTAACATGCTAGGGGACTAGGGCTGCCTGCTCTCCCAACATCAATTTCTTAATTCTTAGGAGTTGCTTTGCCTTCTTAAATGCAACACAACCAATTCATCACCAAATCCAAACCCACTTCAAATATTATCTGCCATAGCAGACCTCAAAGCATCACATCTTCCTGTTGTTTTGTTTGTTCATGTGAACCCAAGCCTGCATGAAATGCGTCCTATTCAGCAACAAGGAATGTTGATACAACTTGAAGAAATGTGAGCCCAATTTTGCACTCTGCAATGTGCATAGTATTATATACTCCTGGTTTTGTAGACAGTATAAGCCAACAGTAGTGGAATCATGAGGCTATATCCTGGAAAATTGAGAATGGGATTCATCTCGTATGCTTTGATGAGAGCCCTGCAATTCTGTAATCCAAGGACAAAAGAAAGAAAGAAACCAAAATAAAACATACGTGAGTAAAATGATGCAAACCATTTACATAAAAACAAAAAACAAAACAAAAAATGCATCTCAATTTATTACCTAGTAGTCATTTCTCCAACATGGTACCCAGGATGACAGAGGAAAGAAAATTTAGTTTGGAGACCTCGCAACGTTTGAGAATGGTGGTTGCAAGGTTCCAAACAATTTCTTGCCTCCATCATCTTAAGAAGTCGGGATGAGTATTCACATATGTACTTCACAAAATAAAATGATGTGATTTAACAATTCGAATAATATAAGGGGACATGAAAGGTCTAACAATTAAGCCTACCACCAAGGGTTGGAGAGGTCCCTCTGTAACTTGAGAGGGCAATGAGGGTTAATGACTACAGTCAAACACTTTAGATAAAAATGTACCACGATCCCGTTCCCACGAACTACATGTATTTCAAGCAGAAATAGATCGGTGAAAGGAACCTTACCATAAAATGCTTCCAACAAACTGCCAAGCAAAGAACCAAAACAACTTTTCGAATCCACCGGTTTCCAACACAGGAATTTGATTTCCTACTCCCTTGGTAATCATACCATAAAGAACTCCTTTCCTCTTGATCGTAGTCATCTTCTTTCTTCCCCGTAAGTGAGAGAAAGTTTTCCCTGGAGATCTGTTTTTCACTAGCCAAAGCCCCAGTCAGCAAAATAGCAGGAAAAACCACGAAGAAGAGATGCGGAAGAACAACCACCATTATATCTGGAGATCCCGCATATTCATGTTTTCCCTTTTGATTGAAAGATTTAACTATCCACCCCATATAGGTCATGTATCCTTTATCCTTGCCGTCCGTGAAAACTTTCCCAAAAAACCAGGGGAATAATATAAGGTAGAATAAGTATCCTAAAAAACCAAACCAGGTGAAGGGAACCCTGCAAAGCTCCTGTAAAACAAATCCTATGCCATTTAGGAAGCCCTTATTCTTGTAAGTGAAATGCCTAATTGAGAAAATGAGGAGAGATTTTGGAATGAGGAGAATGGAGAGTATAAAGTATACAGCACACCAGAACATTGGGTAATACAAGGCAGCCCATTGACAACCCATGACCATAAACTCCTTCCATGTCCATGAAAGCATAGTACTAAGACCATTTATAGAAAACGGCCTTAAATCAGTTGAAGTCGATCTGCCCATGAAGTCAGTTGCTTCTATTTGCAGCCAATATCTATTAGAAATTGGATCCTCAAAGGCTCTATAATTCCATGGAGCAACATAAAGATCTCCCCTGGAGGTGTTATCCACGAGCTTTCTCATGGGTGCCTCAAATACCAGATTGAGATATCCAGGTCTTGAGTCATAGATCCTAGTCATAACCGACACAATTGGAGAAACAGAAAATACCAGGGCTCTTATTGTCTCGTAAGATACCATAGCAAGACATTCATACTTGTGATGGGATGAAGATGTTGACATGAACCGTGAGTCCAGGGGAAAAGTTGGCAATATGATAGTCTTTTTGGTGCCTGACATGAAGTCAATGTCAACATACGAAACATGACCTCTATCAATGGCCAAAATTCTCATGGCTCTGCTCTTCCTCCAGTCACCCATCTCCCACTCCCAGAATTCTCTAGCCGCCGGGGCATCAATTGAACAATTAGCAGTACCATGAAAAGATAATTGGTGTACATTTAGCTGGAAAAATTTCTGCAAGGATAAAAAATGACGACTAAACTGATGATGCCGCTTCAAGTTTTTACCAAACCGTGTATGCAGATGCCCACATATATAAGCTGATATTGAATGATTGAGGAAGATATCTTTTAGGCTCTTCCCAGAGTATGAGATTGCTGAGAATGAAAGAGGAAAATGCCCAAAGGAAATCTTGCTTAATGGTTTTTCTGATTGAGAATCCCACTGTGAGAGCTCCATATCCAGTTCTGCTAATAGTTGATCAGTTGGATGCCCAAAAAGATTAGTGGGACCTCGTAGACCAACAGAGATTGTGCTATCAACTCCAACAAATAGATGCTTCCGCTCACCAGTCTGGAGGGAGAGAAAAGTGTAAAATTAGGGAAATTATGAAAAGCTTTTGAATTAACAAACACTCAATGGAATGCCAGCATCTGTAGTCAAAAATTGGGAAATGGGAATGTACAATTAAAGTTCAACTCAATGTTAGGTTACACAACTTGAAGTTCAGTTATTGAAACTTTAGAACTGTTTGGGATTTTCTTGAAAGGAATAACTCACCTGAAGTGTGACACTATTGACATTCCCAGTTCTGCCCAACTGCCCATTAATGCTGTACTTTGAAAAGAAATCAAAGGAACCACCAAGCACCGGTACGCCAAAGTTATCGTGATTCCCTCTAAGATCAAAGAAGATACTCCTGTCAAGTCCACTCCTTTTTATCACATCTTCCATCACGTTCTGGTATTCCACCCACTCCTCCTCATTTTGCTTCATTGTCAACAAATCCTTGCTTTTTCCATCTGAAGGAGATAAGGAAAATAAGATTATTAAAACTAAAACTATTAATATTGTTATAGAAGAAAAGCCAAGCATAACTATGAAGATTATTGATTAAAGTATGGTTCCAAACAGCAAACACTTCGCATCCATCTCTTGCCCCATTAGTGAATAAGCTAAATGCGTAACAGGGCTTTCTATTATCATTTCAAGCGTGAGACTTGACTAATTAGTTATCAACATTTGAGAATATCAAGATAGAGTATAGTCTCATGTTGCTAAGCTATTTATGACTTCCCCAATCCAATAAAAAAAGAGAAAGAGAAAGAAAAATATCCCTCTTTTACATACGACACAATCCTGAATCCTGACTTGAGGGAAAAAAAATCCAAACATAACATGAAATCTTCGACGTACATGAAGCTAAATCAGCAAAACAGAAAAGGGATACTTTCAACCGGGAACGGTAAAAAAAAAAAAAAAAAAAAAACCTGTGAGATCACCGGTGATGAGGACCAGAGAAGGGTTGATCATGGAGAGAGCAGGCCCCACAATGTTCTTGAAGTCAAGTGCTCTGTCAGGATGGTGGACACTGAAATGGAGATCAGAAACCTGAACCACCCACACTAGTGACTCTGGGCCTCCCTTTACATCTACCACTCTCCTGTGCGAACTGGATTTTGCAGACGAGAATTCGAATTCTTCACTTGCTGCATAGACAGTGAGGCATAAAAAGAGCTCTAGCATCAGAATGGCACTCCCCATTTTGTTTTCCCCCGTAATCTTTAAATCTTCCACTAAATTGCTTTCTTTTGTGTCTTCAGGAGGTTCAGAAATAAGACAAAGTCTTGTCCTTGGCTATCTGTAACTATAGAACAAGAAAGAAAGAAGAAACAGATTACAGATAGCATGGCTTGAGGTCAAAATAGTATAGCCGAGCGGCTATACTTTCGAATATTTAAGACGGTCCGCCGCACGGCTATTCTATTTAAATATTCGAATATTTTTTTAAACGGTATAGCCGCGCGGCTATAATATTTAAATATTCGAACAAATTGGGGTAGTATGGCCGCGCGGCCAAACTATTTAAATATTCGTATATTTTTAAGAAGTATAGCTGCACGGTCATACTATTTAAATATACGGATATATTTGAGACGCGCGGCTATACTGTTTAACTATAGTATAGCCGCACGGCTATACTATTTTAGTATTCGCGAATGATTGAGAAGTATAGCCGTCTGGCTATACGATTTAAATATTCGAATATATTTGAGAAGTATAGCGTATTCGTATATTTAAACTTTTTCTTTTGGGTCGAAATTTTGGTAAACTAAAAGGAGAAAAAGGAGAAAAAGGAGAAATGACAAAAGGTAAAAACAAATGGAAAAAAAGAGTAATATTTACAAAGAGAAAACAACTAGAGTGATGCTGGGTCTCGTGCTCTGGTCTGGTTGCTGATTGCTCAATTTAAGAACACAATCCAGTGGTATCAACAACAACAAAACAGAAACCACTGCCTGCAAAGTCCAGGCAATCACCGAGCTCACTCCTGCCTGCTCTTCATTTGTCATTGATGAAGACATAAAGATACGCACTTGTAATTCTATCGCCACTTTCTTCTTGACTACTTGTCTTCTTCTTTTTCAGGGCGAGTAATATTTTTATCTGTCTTTTATGAATTTATATTTGTTTCCCGGAAGTTGCTGCTATCTGGGTTATTTATTATTCTTTATGGTATTTATTTGAAAGGATCCTTAGTAGTTGGTTCGGTATTTCTTCAAGTTTTGGTTACATTTTCCTTTTCTTTGGGGTTCTTATCATCTGGGTTCCTGGTGATTGTTAATTGTATTTGCGCAAATGGGTTTTTTGAGGTGACGTTAAGTATTTTATTTATTTTTTCTTGTTGCATTAGTGTTTGTTTGATTTATGTTCTTAAGGATTCTAGTAATTACTAACTTATGTTCTTAAGGATTCTAGTAATTACTAACTTAGGTTCTTAAATTCGTAGTGTTAATTATGCAATTTGTTCTCTTTTATTAATTTTCATTTGGTTCTGGACGACTCAGATAAAAAAAATTTGGTGGCTTGAGCCCAGTGTGGCTGTGGAAATTGATGGAACCTTAAGAATGAGTTGGTTTTGAAGGGGTAACGGAGTAAGGTTTAGGTTTATGTTCTGGTCTTGGGGCTTGATGAGGTCCATACCATGTGCTGCCTACCATCTTATTCAGAATCATACTTACATAATCACAGTGGACTAACAAATAACCTCCTTACGTCTTAAGAGTGTGGCCTAATGATTCTTAGTTTCAACAATGACTGAGTAATCAAAAGTGTTCAATTGAAGCCTTGACTACTAAAAGATAATCCATATTGCGTCATGGTTCTTATGAGAGATCATCACTGTTCACATTGTGTATCCATTTATTTTCTATAATTGTAGTTCATGGCCTGTCGAATGGGAACTACAATGCTACAGTCAAGTTTACTAGCAGTGGAGAATCAAATCTCTGAAAGATCGCCTATAACCCTTGCAAACCAGAACTGTTGCAGTGAACCAAGTTTCATCAGGCAAACTTCAAAGATTGGCATAAAGTCTGTGCCATTACTCCAAAGGAGGTATGCATAATGAAACCAAATGTTTTTTTTCTAGATCATGAAGATTTGTATTGTATATGGCTTCATGCTGCGTCTGAGCCTGAATATTGGTCATCATGAGTTTTTCTTTCTTCTTTGTTTGTGTTTCTTCACGAATTAAAGTCGACTGCATTATCTTTTCTTTTATGAATCTTAAATGATTTGAAATTTCTCTTATTTCTATGACACCGGAATAATTAATAAAATCCCTGAACCCTTCTGAATAATAGTGAGTTGCATGCATCCTTCTTGTGGCAAGGACTGTTATTCTTTCATTCATTTTTGGATTTCCTCTTTTCGCTCTGCTCTGTTCCTACCTATTTCCGAGTTCTAGACCAGAATATTATTGTGCAGAATGATGCCCAAATTTTGAACGTGGTGCTGTATATTAGGAACTTGTACCACAATCCTGCCTTCGCTAAGAATTAGGGGCTTTAAGGAATGGGAGAGGGCTGCCTCTCATCCTCTGGCCATAGACCTAATGGACCTTGAACGGATCGAAGTATAGATTCTGCTTAGTCCACTTACAGAGAATGAGTTGAGTCAGTTTTAGAACTTTTGTGGGCAGTCAACAGTTGATAGAACTTTATTTTTGGTTTAGTTTACAGTAGATTGATTATATATCCACGTCAAATCCAAGTTCTCCAAACTGTACTTAAGAATAATACTGGTCCAGGTATGACTAGATAAAATACTTGTTGGTGCTTCTTCTTTTATAAGAATATATCGATGCCCCCTCTTAACTTGCTTATTTCTGTTATGCGGACACAGTTTTCATTCAACAAGGCATCGGTGGAGAATAGCCTTTGCCTTGGACACAGGTGGGGTTCCTAATAATGGTGGGCAAGAGGGCATCAATGGCAACAGCTCTGATCTCAATCGCACTCGATTGGGTCGGATAGTGACTGCAGGTGGAAGACAGCTATTGGAGAAGCTGAATTTAGCCAGAAAAAATTTTCCCATGAAGATATTTCTTCTTCTTTTGGGTTTCTACACGGCAAATGCATTGGCTACAATCCTTGGGCAGACTGGTGATTGGGATGTTTTGGTTGCAGGTATTGTGGTTGCTGCCATTGAGGGTATTGGTATGCTTATGTATAGAAAGCCCCCCTCTCAATCAAGTGGAAGGCTGAAGTCTTTTGTCATGATGATAAATTACTGGAAAGCTGGTGTATGCTTAGGCCTCTTTGTGGATGCTTTTAAGTTGGGTAGTTAAAAGGTGCTTTTATCCACCTCAAGTTTGGAACTAAACTACTTAACCACCCTCGCTCCATTGGTCGGTTGTCCTGTCCGGACTCCGGACTAGATCCACGTGTATCATAAGATCACCAATCTCAACTTCAGTTTTGAACATAAAAGTTTGTCCTGTCTGTCCTGTTTCTGTACATGCAGCTCTCAGTTTATTGTTTCCTGAACTTCTTTATTTATTTATTATTTTTGTTTCTAGAGAGAGAAATGAAGAGATATGAAGTTAAGTTATCACTATAGAGAGAGAGAGAGAGAGAGAGAGAGAGAGAGAGAGAATTTAATGTACAAAATAAAACTATTTTCTAAGGAGAGGCGTCACCTTTAATTTTGGTGCTGCCTTTGCCATAGCGGCATGGACCATGCTAAACGAGTCTTGCATAGACGGTTTTCTATTGGTTTTTTGCATGTTCATTTTCTTGAATTATGCGTCCACAGGATCACTAGGAAGTTTCCCTCAAAACGTGTATACAAGAGAAAGTAACAGATGACAGAAAGAAAGATAGGAAGAAGAAATGTCAAGACCCTCTTTGGTACAACTACTTGAAAGCTCTCATCATGAGCATGACATCCTTCTTCGATAATGGCCTCCAATTTCGGATAATTATTTGAACATCTCTGGACCTGGTGGTGTTGGTAGTGGTGGGATATAAGAAGGGATGGTTCAACTTCACCCCAGTTCTGCATGTATCTCAATCTCACCTCCTTTGCCATCATCTGATTTCTGATCTCTCCTCTTGTCTCCTCTCGTCTTGTCTCAGCTAATTAATTAATTAATTAAAGGGTTCGATTCGATGGATCAATTTTCTCAATGAAAGCTACCAAGCTTTTGGGGTTGGGGTTGGGGTTGGGTTTGGATGGTGACAAAGTTGATGTGGATGATCTAATACTATTAGGCTGGCTAGCTATAGAGATTAACCGATATGGGGGGTTGGATGATCAAATCCTATTTATACATACAAGCTGATTCAGTGAGAGGTTGGGATGAAAAGATATAGTAAACCAAAAATAGAACAAATCTAAGATAAGCCAAAAATCAAAATTCGGGTTTATATATACATAGATGCATGCAGAAGTGAAGAACCATTGGTGGTGGGAATTTAACTAAAAATAACATTCAAGTTTGAGCCAAGAAAAAAACTGATCAAAAGCCAAGATAGCTAATAGCTATGGAGATTCAACAAAATGAGAATGGGAAGCCTTTTTTTTTTTTTGGTTACAAGGCAGGCCAAAGCCAGAAAAGAAAAAAAGCTTAACAAGGCACAGCCCTACTTGGGAGTTTCACTAAAACACCCAAAATGGGGGTTGAAATTATAAAAAAACCCAAGCACTATTTAAACATATAAACACACCCAAAACCCATCATTACACACACTCAAAACCCATTTATAAACACACCCAAAAAGTTGACTTTGGGGTTGATTTTGGGTGTGTTTCTATGTTTAAATAGTGCTTGGGTTTTTTTATAAATACATGTCTAGGATTGGGTTTATTTATAAATTTGTATTCTTTAAAACGAAAAGGAAAAAACAACTTTACCTTTATCTTGCAAATCAATGAATACAAGGATGCTTGCTTGTTCCAAGTGCCAACCATACCATACGAAGCATTTGTTCACAGGGTAGTAGTAGGGCAATTGAAACAAAACACAGAGACAATAGATATCCCATACTTACTGGAGAATCTCCCTCCAACTAGACTCATATTTATCATTGCAATGCAAAGTAATACTTGTTCAGTAAAACAAAATAAAATTATAAAGCTAATGTGACTGTATACAGGTTTAGGATGCTAGGACTATCTGAGGTTATAGCGCTTTTTCCCTTCCGATTCAATCTCCTTTACCTTGCCGACAACATACTGAACTTTCTTTGACAGGTCTTGCGAATGTTCCTCAATGTGATCAAATAGAAGATCAACTATTTCTCTAAGTGAAGCAGACCGCTTTCTCTCAAGGAACAGCTCGCGAGTTAATTCTTCAATCTTTCTCTTACCATCCTACAAACATATTCCGCATCTATTAGATAGGGTAACAGTTACCCAACTGACACTGAGGTCAATCAAATCAACTCTTTGGAATAAATAACAAAGAGACAATGAAAAACACCCATGAAACATATGCAACCAGGAAGAAGGTTGCCTGAAAAGAAGACCCGAGTTAAACTTACTAAGGGCTTCGCAACTTTCCCCTCAATGGATCAAATTAAATTGCAGAACCAGAACTTTGACAGATCTAGAAACAACGATTATTTTGTTTCTGAGCTTTTTAAATAATAAAAAAGGAAATGCTTTCCTGTCTCACCAGCCAATTAAATTTAACATATTTGACCATTCCCATATCAATTCCACATATACAAAGAGTGTCCAAGCTTTCCAGTTGTCCAATTTGGTTTATAATCTGAGTCAAAATGGCAAAATTTCATGAGGCAAGAGAAAAAATTTCTTCAAACAAATTAAGTCAATAACTAACAACTGAAAAAGAGGACAATAACTGACCGGTACTTGATCAGCAATCAATCCTTTTTGACCTTTGTTGGCAGTGGCAGTCAATGCATGAGTGTGCTCCTTCATGAACCTTGTAACAACCCATTTCCCAATACTAATTTTCTTTATCAATAGCATGGCCTTACAACCTACCCTAGTGGGAGCCCGAGGCTTTATGGTAGTCTTATCGCGCCTATCAGGCTTCCGGTAACCCTCCTTGTTGCATACAAAAGTCCGGCCAATGATGGTTCCATCATGTTTGGATCGAGCCAGGTAGTTCATACGAGTCATGAAACCCACACGCATGCCATATGCATTATAAAATGCTTGTGCAGTTTCTTCTGTATCAAATTCCTGACCCACATACGGCTCATCTGCTTCGACCACTACACTTGATCCATCTTTACAAGGATTCTGAGTAACTTCATCATCTTGTCCTTGTCCAAGATGAGACATCTCTTCAACTTCAACAAAGCTTCCTACCAATGCACCATCGTTAGAATGCTTAGCTCGGCATCACTTGAATCATTTAACACCCCATCATTAATATTTTTATCAAGTTCAGAATCCACTGCAACATAACATTCATGGAATCAATCATGAGGATCCTAGTGCAATGCAAATTGTTCTTTTTTCTATAATCAGTAGTATCAGTGGAATTCATGACCAAGAAAAAACAAGTCACTATCATATCATATCATATTCAAGCAGATTGATATAAAGCATACGAAACGAACAACGTAAATACACAATGTGAAAAGAAAAAAGAGTCCATACTCAATAATTCAAAGACAAAGGGAAATAAGAAGATTACAAGAATAAGTTTTTACAGTAAAATCACGGTCACACCCAGAAACTAAAAGGAAATTGGGAAACCCAATTGACAGACAATCAAGATCAAATATTTGAATTTTTTTTTTTAAAGATAAGCAATTGAAATTGAGAGAGAAATTCAAAAACCAGTGTAAAGTAACTGAATTTGAAACTTACTGAGTCATTTGATTTTTCTGAAGCCCGAAATGCCGGCGGGTCAGATCCGCGGGAACTCCATGTTTGTTTCAAAGCGAGAAGCTCAGTCCCAGCGAAAGGGAAGAGGCTTTTGGGATTTCAGTCTTGGTAATAATAATGTAATCAATATTATCCACGGGTCGGGCTTTCTAAGGGAACTGGGTCGGGTGTTTTTGTTGATACGAACTGTTCTATTCTCTCGAACATGGCATTGGCAGCCAACTGCTCTGAGAATCACATCTCTTATAGTTATTCTACTCATCCCCCTTATACAAATACAAACCAATAATTATAGGGAACGAAACGATTAATCCTAAATTAACAGGTAAATGTTAATTCGATTCTATTGAATAATTGAACAAAAAATTTATTTTGATCAACAGCCATCCATCCCATATAGAAAAGGAAACGGGAAAGGAAATACACACCATCATATCAACTGATAGGTCGGTAACATGACTTGAAAATAGATTGAGAAGGCAAAGTGTGAAAATTCAATTTACAGATTTCACATTTACATTACAAAACGAAACGCAGACTAGGGGGCATTTCGACGGTCTTTTCCCTTTCCCTCGGATGACACAATTTCTTGGAGATTATCAGTTATGCGCTGGATCTTTTGCGACAGGTTTTGAGTGTGCTCTTCAATGTGATTGAACAGGAGGTCTATGATTTTTCTATATGAAGCAGACCGCTTTCTCTCAACCAGCAGTTGTTGAGTTAATTCTTTGATTTTCATCTGTTCATCCTGCAAGCAAAAATCAAGCACAATAAGCCCTTAAGAAAGGAGGACATGATGAATGAATGACTGTTGTGAAAGACTAATTAAGGACAGATTGCATAATGGAACTCCAAAACACATCTTTCTTTGTTACTACTGAACAACAATGCTACTACTGAATAAAAGGGAGGCTAGAAAAACAGGCTAACACTTTCAACTGCAAATCTCATTTACACATAGCATATTTCCCAAAACCAACAAGTTTTGAGATTAATGATTTCATTTATTCCTTAAAAACTTTTAGCAAAGTACTAACCACCCTCAGAACATTAATAATTACACCCTCAATATGCATGTAGACGTGTGAAACACAAGACTTAACATAAGGCCAGACAGACACCATGGGGACATGAGAATTAGTGAATGTGCTTATTAGGACTTGAATATCAAGGAAAAGGGAAAACCAACCATAGTTCCACAGCATACAGATATAGGAACAATCAATTTTTAACTAAACAAGAATTGTTTTCCATGGGCTCTCTCACCCGATAAAGATACTGCAGAAGGCAGATAAGCTTATAGCATCCAAATTGAGAAACAATGCTAGTTAACATGCATTTCACTGAGACAAGTATTTAAAACCCTAATCAATTCAAAAGAGCATTAACTAACACCGCACTGGAAAAAAATAATGAAAACAATAAAGAGAAGTTACCGTAGTAGATGGATCATTCGATCCTTTTTTACCCTTCCCTGGAGACAGTGTATGGGTATGCTCCTTGACAAACTTTGCAACTACCCACTTTCCAATACTCAGTTTCTTAACTGAAATCATTGCCTTGCAACCAACCCTAGTGGGGGGTCGAGGTCTCACACTCATTCTCTCACGCTTATCAGCCACTCGGTAACCCTCTTTGTTACAAACTAGCGTTCGAGCAATGATGGAGCCATCGACCCTAGAACGAGATAGATCGTTCACACGTGTTCTGAAACCTATTCTCAGTGCATATGCATTATAAAATGCATGTGCAGCTGCTTCTGAGTCGAATTCCTGGCCCAGATATGGTTCGTCTCCTTCAACTGCATTTTGTTCCACTCTTGAAGAATTTTGACCCACTTGCTCAATTTGCCCAAGACTGGAACCCTCCTCGACAACACAAGTTGCTAGAATTGCACCATCATGATTTAATCTAAGCTCAACATCTGCTGAATTATCTAAGACCCCGTTTTGAGCCTCTGTATCAAATACAGAATCCACTGCAAAAACATAAACTTTGAGTTTGAGCCATTGCCAAGCAAAAATAAACAAAAGCAACATAATACAAGAAAAGCCCATCTCCATGACATAAATTCTCAACTTGAATTAAGCAACAAAATGGTCAGATCAGATGGGCTACACTTACACTAGACTAGGAGGGTCAAGAAATCAGCATATTCCATCTCAATGATTTGCATTCATCACAATCACATGCTCATTCATTCTCAAATGGATAAACATAAATGTGTGTGTTTGTGTGTGTAAGGCACAGGCTACAGACCCAATACTACAAAATTAAAAAGAAATAAAGAGGTAAAAAGAACAACACACAAACACACACACTTTGGCGTTCATATTAGAAGAAAACAAAAACACCATGAATCAACCGAATATCAGATTCTTGTTTGTTGTAAATAAGGAATCTTTAAAAAGAGAACTTACTGATTGATCTATGGTAAAGCTGAACGAACCAGAAGAGGATAGTATTAGTTACAGCCACCAAACCCAATTGAACGCAACCCACTGAGAGGAAGAGAAAGAGAAAGAGAAAGAGAAAGGAAGCTGTTTTCTGTTCTCTCTCTCTCTCTCTCTATCGTCAATCAGAAAGGACTCGTTGTGTAACCCGGCCTGTTGTGTACATTTTCTGTTTTTGGGCCGCTAGAGCTAGAGTGTGGACTCCGATTCTCAGCCAAGACTTTAAATAAAACAAATAAATCCAAAGCCCAACATATCTTAATTCCCTCTTCGGCCTGCCCAAAGCCCAACAATACCCAACCTTTTTAAACCCCCCTCAATTACTCTTTTTTTATTTTTATTTTTTTTTATTGAAAGAGATGCTTTATTAATGATAGCGCTGACAGTAAATATTACCAAAACTCAAGTCCCGTTCCCTTATTTACTAAGTAATAATAATAATTAGGGTAAATTATAATAAACTTCTCAATCTATAAGGTCATTTACGAGTTTATACTTAATTTTGGGGACATTTAACAGTACATATTCAATGTCACAGAAAATCTACAATTTACCCCCTTCATTAGCGAGATCATTAGAAAAATCGTTATATGTCTACGTGGCATCTATAGGACCCTTTTTTAAATTGACGTGAACTCCACATAAGAAATAAAATAAAATAAAAAACTAATAAAAAATCTAAAAACCCCAAACCAAAAAAACCATCTTCTTCTCCGATATCCCATCGCCGTTTAGCCTAACCTCCAACCCACCCTCCCCATAGCTCCGATCCAGCAAAACCAAACCAACCCTTCCCCTGTCTTCTTGGAACTCCAGCCACCCTCTCTCCCCTTCCCCGAGCCACCCTCTCGGCGCACCACAACCTAGATCCCAGTACACACGAGCTGGGTTTGTTTTTGTTGGGTATAATTGAAAACGCAAATTCGTTCCAAAATTCAAAACCAGAAAGAAAGAATAAAAGAGAATGTCCTCCTCCGCCGTTACTTTTGTGGTCCTCCTTCGCCTCACCAGATTCCATCCCTCCCTGCCTGTGCCGCATATATTTATTTATTTTTGAGTTTTTTTTTTTTTTTTTTTTTGGGGGTTGGGTTTTTTTTGTGGGATCACTTTCTTTTCAAGGGTCCCGCCCCCCC